ATCAATATAGACTCGCCCAGAGTGGACGCGACCACGAGTCGGCGCCAGTTTGATTTTCGAAAGCCAACTGTTTAGTCAAAACCAAAGCAGTTAACCAATTCGCTAGCGAGTTTGCAAATTGGTTGCCCCAATATTTCTGAGACTTGCTGTAATACACTAAAATTGGCATACTCCACCTAGGGATTGGAAAAAAAACGTGGAAAGGCATATACAAGTCGAGAAAACACCTTTTCTATTGACGCACAAAACCACATCTGTCGCAAACACACAAAAGCAAATCCGAAACATCGTCTGAAGTTATTATTATGTAATCCCGAAGAGTCAGCAATTATAGCTTGTTATGCAACGAATATTTTTATATTTATTTGAGCCCATTACTGTATTGCATTGTTTTATTGTTTTGTATTAGATTCGTCTTTTGTTTACTATACTTACTACTACTACACTTATTTAAGCTTTATTCTAGTTTTATCTATCTTATTTGTATTTATTATAGTCTTTCAGCTATTTTATTATCTTTATTTTAGCTTATTACTGTAATTCATTGTTTTACTTTTTGTATTTGTCTTTTATTTACCATACTGAACCCAAGGATGGTTCGGTAATGTAATAAAGTTATTATTATTATTATGAAAACAAGTACTGTGAAATCCACAAACGTAGATCTTTGCTTTTAAATAAGTGTTTGTCCAATGGAAAAATAACAAAACGTACCGTATAGTAAGGTGTTATATAATGTAACATAATATGGGAATTTTGGAAATGTGTTAATGATCTTTCTAAACCGCTAGGACTTAATTTCATACATGTGCAATCCGTTTTACGCGCGATGAATCTCATTAACAATTCTACAGTCACACGATTCGACAAACGGGTTGTTTAATATAACTGATATTGAATTAATGGACTAAGTTTGTATATTATTAATATTATTTATTTTATTATAATCGCCATTTGTAGTTGTGTGTACACTCATTCTAATAATGTGGATGAAATAATAGGCAGAAAGCGCATGTTAACGATGTTTCCGCTTGAGGGCGCACTTCTTGGGTCGATGTGTTACACTTAAGTCCTGTGACGTCCTTGTTGCTTCCAAATATTTTTAATTTCACGTTCCGGTTCCGGTTCCGTTTTTTTTTGGACAACCGCAGAAGAGGGACGACCAGGTCTGGGAGTTGTTTCCACAGACTTCCGGCCATATTTGAATTCACGATGCCAGCGTTTTACAAGGTCATATGATGGGGCATCATCACCATAAGTTTCTTTCATTTCATCAAAAGTCACATTTGGTGTGCGTCCTTTCAAATACAAAAACCGGATCACTGCGCGACACTCAACTGGCTCCATTTCACACCTGACTCAGTTCAAACACCTGTAAATCAGAAACCACAATTAGTTCACAGCTGTTTACAACATAACCATAGAGATGTAAATCATTACACATGCAACATTTAATCTAGATCAAACAACTGAAAGTGGGTCAGGCGCATTACTTATTGAACGCCCCTCGTACCACTGTCACGCATCGACCAATCAACGACAAGCATAAAATCGCGTGGTGGCAGAGATATATTTGTTGAAATTGAGGTGTGGCCGAACTTCAAGATCTTTCTGACTTCCAGCTGGGTAGGACTTGGGTCGTAGTGAACCAGACATTTAGGGTGAGTCGTTATAAATTGTGCAGTTGAATATAAAATGCGGACATTCAGAGTACACTACGAGGTTTTAGGGGCTTGCATACGTATGGCTAGTAGAGTTCCGACTGTATCACAGGGACCTGACGATCTATTTGTGTCATGGACGTCTATGGGGCGAAACGACTATGCCCCGGTACCGGACCTTAATCGTGCTCAAAATAATAGAAATTTTAGAGTGAAAACAGTTTGGTAATGTGAAGCTAGCATATGTCATTAAAACTCGGAAATTTACTAATACTAGTGCAGGCTGATCGGCCGGAAAAAAGTATTAGTGATTTCTGGGGTTTCAGAGTCCCCATAGAAGTACAGGTAATTGACACGAATATATCGCCAGGCCTCTGTGATCCCGTTACGGGGCAATCATTTGAAATCAGGGGGGATAGTGCATGTAAACAGTGCGATATAGTTTTTGCGGTGTTTCATCTGTACAATTTTATTTTTTTCTCTCTCAATAAATCTTCCGCCCCAATGATTCAAATGGTCACCCCTTAAACCCTCAACGTTATGTTATCGTAATAACAAATTGTATACTTATTGTATATTTTATATTATTTTACACATCCTACCATAGGCTGTCTATGATCTTACTACTAATCATATTCATTCAAATTTGTGATTGTTACATTTTCTCCTACATGATTTTAATATGTGAATATTTAAATATTTGCCTAAAAATATCTCACATTATTATATATAAATTGCATTATTATTATAAACTGACATACAGGGTATACAATTATATACCAGTTGAGTCTACCAGAATTAAAATAAAATAATGAAATATTCATTATATTGTCAACAATTTACACATCTTTTCTTTTTAACTGAACATTTATGTGCAGAAATTCTAATGTTTGTGATGGCGACTTTCTATGGTTAGTATTTTCAGTTTATCAAATTAAAGGACGATTGTCGCCATTCATCACGTCTTTGAATTTCATATACTAATGTAAGCGAACAATGCCTTGTGTACATCGCTATGAGTTCCACATCGGAGAGGACACAGTGACCATGGCCCTTTAACCATGCAGATATTTGTATCTTTCATCATATTTTTCACTAGTGTTACATATGTAAATGTATAATATTATCACCGATAATAAATTCATATTTATTGTGTATGTACATTCCCTCAAATGTTGATGCTATTTAAAATACAGTAATGTTAGTATATAAATAAAAATGTACTAAATCTATCTTTTCACTGCTAATTAACCTGAAGTGACTGAATCACTGTTTTGTTTTGCATATATATACCGTTATATGATTAGTATTACTAGACAATTTTTCCATACATGTATATTATTACGTATTTTTCCTGTTAACCCTACGTCACATAACGTTCTCTACTTGTGGCAGGCTCTGTGAAAGCTGCTTTGAAACGAGAGTCAAATATCTGGTGAAAACAGCCATTGGCGCGACTATACTAGGGGGTCCGGGGCATGCTCCCCCTAGAACAATTTTGAAATCTAGACCCTCTGAAACGCTATTTCCTGCATTTTGAGGGGCAAATTTTACTGACACAAAAAATTGTTTACACTTTAAATTACTGAATTTAGAGTAATACTCTTAGTAACAGTTGAGTATTTGGGTAATGATAATATTAATTATTATACATCTGTCACCGTAACGCCATAAGTTACAGCGTGCCATAATTTTGCGGTATTTTACGGGGTATTTTCATCCAACCATATAAGGAAATGCGAATTCTAAATATGGAATGATTACGCACGTAGGCGTCCTCTAATAATACAAACAAACATGGCTGCCACCAGAGTTCGACCAGACTCCACACAAAGAAGTTCGCTGATTCTGTTATAAAATTTTGGATTTCGGCATTCCCATGAATACCTCAAAGTATGCACTCAGACAGGACACCGTCGGTCGATACTGCCGATGTACTGTCTTCGTCCATACTTTGAGGTATCCTCGTAATAACCTCACATACACCAGTGACTCATTGTTATAGAAATTTGGTTTCAACCTATCAAAAAATATATAACACAATAAGTTTGGCTATAAACATTTAGGCAATTGAATTTATATTTCTTTGTAACTCTTGCTACCACATACTGTAAAACATGTCTTTTTCGCGAGCATGTTTTTTTTCGTGAATTTAGCTAAAGACTTTATTATAAATTCAAAATGGCCGCCAAACAACGTCTTTTTTCTCCACACACACTTTGTAAACAACACAAAAAAAAAAACGTACTGACATGATAGATACACTTTATTGAAAAGTAAATTAACACACACAAAAAATACACGTATTCATTGTGGTCATTATTTCAATGAAAATAAATAAATGAAGTGATACTGATATATTATTACGGAAATTAGTAGTATTTAGTAATTTTTGAGTCCCAATATAAAAGGTCAATGTACTGGATGTAACGCAGCAACGGTACCCGCTTTTCAAATCCCTGTTGAATCAGTTTTGTTATCATTGCGAACAGAATAAAATTCCACGTGACAGTTTCTTTGTTTTTATGAAGGTGATAACTGCGCATTTGTTTTGGCGCGCGACAGACAAGTATTGTGAAAAGAGGAAATCAACAATGACAAGAGCGATTTGCTAAATCAACATTTCGCTATCACGTCATTTTACGTCTATTCGCTAAAATTGCATGTCGCTTTTTCAACATGTTTCACAGTACTAAATATGTGTAACACAATACGTGTCTCTGCTTCGTCCATTAACAGATTAAAGGCAATATACCACACAATCAAGATGTCCAAACCAGCTCATAAGATAGCAGACATTAATCTAGCAGAGGCCGGAAGAATGGTCATCTCTTTAGCCGAGAATGAAATGCCAGGATTACTAAAAATGAGAGAGAAGTATGGAACGAGTAAACCACTAGACGGTGCTAGAATTGCTGGGTGTTTACATGTTACTAAAGAAACAGCTGTGCTTATAGAGACACTGCTTGTACTCGGTGCTAAGGTTTGTCCTTTTAATTCTGGTTTCTAATATTCTAATAATATTTAAATGCCTTTTTTTCTATGTGTTTTCAATACCTGAGCAACTGTATAATTTGCATATTAATTAGCAAATTTTAAGCATTTGTATTTTTATCATATACCATTGAACAAATCTCAATGAAACTTAGATCATAGATCGTCTGGGATAATGCTAAATACTGGTTAGTTTTGGTTGAAACCCTGTGCATATTATTTACCTAATTTACATATTAAATGGAAATATTTTCTCTTTTTATCAAGAACCATTAAACAGATTTCAATAAAACATAGTATATAGATGCTTTTGGATAATGCACAAATCTGATTACTTTTTGGTTGAAATACGTGTATATTAATTACCAAATTTGCAAATAAATTGGCCAAATTTAACTTTTCTACCAATATCTCAATCACTCATCAGATTTAATGAAACTTGGTACATACACATGTAGATGCTTAGGGACAAGCAATATACATGTTCAGTTTAAAGTTGAACTTTGTTCTCACTACTGATCAAATTTTAATGTACATAGGTGCTTTTAGATAATCCACAGATCTGATTACCTCAGGGTTGAAATCCATGCTTATTAGTTACCTGTTATTAGTTTCATGTGTGTTTCTCAATATGCATAACTGTAATGTACTAAGTACTGTTGCAGGTAGGGACAAGCAATCAATGCTATAATTTTGTTGTCTGTCAAGATATGTAACCAAAATATTAAGTCATCATATATGGTTACCATTTTATTAAATATTCAAATCATTTGCTCTATTAGAAGCACATGTACCTACTGTAAATATAAATGTCAAAATAAGACATATTCAATGATTTTTCATGCAATAAAGACAATGCTTTATGTATAATGAAGATGTGCTTCTAATATAGTAAATGCAGTATAATTTTATAGTTGTACTTGTACATGTCTCCAATACCTTAGCACACGGGTTTTCTTTCTAAGCCTTCTTTGATTACCTCTTGTGATTGGTTTGCCGATAATCACTGGTTATGGCGACAATGACAAAATACAATGTACACTTAAATAATTGAAAATATTGTTACTTTTGTTTGTGATTGTTCAAGCAATATGTTCCGCATTAATTGTCGAAAGGGAGTGCTATGAAACCGCCCACTATTGGCACCTGTCAAATTTCGCATGCAAAGTAGCTAGCCAATCCCAATGCACTGGTTGTTGCTCTTTCTGGCACATTCCCAGATGTTGCTGTTGACTTTCTGACCCTGAATTGTATCACCCAACCACATAATTCTTTTAAAATTACTACAATGTAAAGACATTTCAAAAGAAAATAAATTTTATGTTCTTGCATTGAAATATGTAACATAACATTAGGCGTCTAAGGTAAAAGTGGCTAGTTATTGTGATATTTACAATGTTATTTATTAATTAATAGTGTCAACCTCTATTCGATTCCGAATGAAATATCGATTTAAGAACACTCTTGTACAAATAGGTACAGTGGTGCAGCAGTAACATCTTTTCAACTCAAGACCATGTGGCAGCGGAACTAGTGAAATGTGGCATTCCTATTTATGCATGGAAGGGTGAGACGGATGAAGAATTTGTATGGTGTATGCAACAGACTCTGGTCTTTCAAGATGGCCAGGCACTTAACATGATTTTAGACGATGGTTGTAATCTCACACAGTTAGTGTATCACAAATATCCGCAGTACTTATCAGGTACAGTGCAATTAAAAAACACAAAAAAAATTAATAATGAAATTATTTCTCGATGAATTTTTTCATGAAATAACATGTTCTAAAGTTGAGATACCGATAGTTTTTCGTACTTATTATTATATTTATTCTACAGGAATAATTGGAATTACCGAGGAAACATCAAGTGGTGAGATTATCTTAACTAAAATGTTTAATGCTCGAGAATTGAAGACACCATGCATCAATGTGAATTCTTCGGCTGTGAAAGCAAAGTTTGAAAAAATTTACGGGTGCAGAGAGTCAGTGATAGACGGCATACGAAGGGCTACTGATGTCATGCTTGCTGGAAAGGTATTGTAGACGCCATTTGGTGTGATAGTATTAAATTAATAACTTATTTCAGTTTATATGTGTAGCGCCTCTAAGTGAGAGTTACTCCTTAGTTTTAGTAGTAGGATGACATTTGACCCCTAGACATTAGAGATATACGGCAAATTGGAGACCATACTAGTTTTAACGGACTTATATTAGGAATTGTTTTGAAAATACTTGTGAAAGTTAACGAGTTGCATTACACCTGTACGATTCCTGCTAAAATAGCTACGTTTGCTGGCTTGTGTGTGTGCTTGAATGCGTTGGAACTGTGGTCGGGGTCAAAAACGCATGATAGGAAGAAGCTGTTGTACGATTGAGTTCTGTCGAAAACTATTGTGAACCCCATGCAGACACCAGGAATTTCGCTGTTATCACTCTCGGTGCCCAGATATAGTAAAACCTAATTTCTGCTTTTACCGAGTAAAATTCTACATTTTCATGGGAACTGGATTACGTGGCATTGAGCGCAAGATGAATGTTGTCTGGACAGCATTGTTTACCGTGTACCGTGTTACAGATATACTGACTGTGATTAGCATAATTTGTCTGTGATGTGAATGCCTTGTAGAACTGAATACGGCTTTCTTTCATCATTCATCTATGCCGGTTGCTTGTTTATTGTTTGGTGCAAAAGGTCACAGCGTGTGTATATGTCCTTGATGAAAGAAATGATTTTAATCATTTTTGACAGTCGATCATTCATTGTTCGCTTTAAATTCTTCGATAGATAGCATTTACTGTCCACTAGTGAAATATTATCTATTTATGGTGTACAGAGTGCAGAAGCCAAAAAACTATTATAATATAGCGTCATGCTGTAAAGGAGCAAGACAGGTTACTGAAACAACGTGAAGCAGCGCTACACATAAAACTAGAGAACCAGTTGTATGACATTCAACACCACAGAAAATACTGAAAATAAAAATAAGGGTCTGCTTAACAAAAATGCCATTGTCGAAACGTATAAACAGATTGACTATTGCGAAAATAGTGTTGCAAGGCTGTCTAGATTACAAGCATTATTTCAATCCAAAGCTACCTTAAGTGGAGAAATTAAACAGGAAAGTAGTCCTACCACATCTTATAGTCACACAGACCTACGCAATCAAAGTATATTGCAACAAAGTGAGAAAAGGTACACTGCTAGAAATATCATAATATCTGAACACATGAAGTGAACCAAGTCACACCAAGAACCAGTATACCATACATGTAGGGTAGAAGTACACCTTTAAGAAGGGAACCAGCTACCAGTGCTACTATGGTACAGTGATGGTACAGGTAGTTCTAGTGATAAAACGGCTGTGTCAGTCATAGCCAACAAATGCGCTGCACTACCATAAAAAAAGTCATTCAGAGGTGACCCATTAAACTGCAAAGCGTTGATTTGCATGTTCAAGCATGGGATTGAGTTCAACACTGAAGATCCTGATGATAGGTTGTATTTGTTTAGGACAGTACACAGAAATTGAACCCAAACAAATGGTGAGCAGTTGTATGGAAAGGAAGGTAAGGTGAGAGCCAGTAAAATGCTTGAGAATGAGTATGGGAAGGATTATGCTATGGTTGTATCAGAAGTGCAAAACATCTTTTCAAAGACTGCAAGGACAAGCTGACTTGCACCAAGTGTGGTAGTATGCACTCTACAGTATTACACTATAAAGGTCTTAAGAGTAAAAAAAGGAATGTTGACAACATCGGGAATGGTCGATGTAGACTGCCAAGCGTCAAAGTCCATTAAAATTGCGCGAAAACCAGTTATCAGAGATGTAGGGCAACTGCAGCTAGTATGAAGACCTATACATTCCTAGATAATAGCAGCGATACTGTTTTCTGAACTGAGAGAGGGCAACAGCAAATAAATGCTGGTGGCAAGAAAATAAAGCTGAACCTATGCACCTACGCATTAAACTACTAGTTGCATACACTCAAGAAGACATACCAGCCTTTGAACCATGAAAAGTCATTTGCAGTGACGATATGCCTCCTTTGCAGTTCACACTAGATGGATGTCTGGCAGGGGCTGGTGAACCAACAGATGTGAGTCTGAAGCAGAATTTGTTGGACTCAAGGTGGACCTGTAGTTGACTGACCATTTCAACCATGAATTCAATGAAAGCATCACAAATGACAAACCTGAAGATTCCGTGTAAAATACGGTTATGCGGAAATGGTCCCAAAGCATGGTAAATACACCCTCAGAAAAAGAGTTCCAACAAGAAATGTGCTTGATGTGAGAGTGCCTAAAGAAGTAAATTTCCAGCATTTCCTGTGGTGACCCAATGGTAATATTGATGCACCTCTAAATGAATACTGTATGATTGTACACATCTTTGTGGCAACAGCCTCCCCTAGTTGTGTCAATTACACCTTCAGTTGATGATACCCATGATGTTAAGAACACGACATGTAACAGCTTCTATGTTGATGTTAAAGTCAGTACCAAAAATAGACAATATAAAAATCTTGTCTACGGATTTAATATAAATATGCAAGCAAGGTGGGCTAGCTCGCAAAATTGATTAGCAATGTACGATACGTACTTTGACTTTTGTGAACATGAAATTATCCAATTACATTACTTCTTTGATGCTAGTGAGTCTGGATATGGCATGGTATCCCATGTCAGAATGGTTGAATACATTGTGCCGTATTTGCACCCCCTTAAACAGATTCCAATACCCCGCATGGAGTACACAGTGTCCCAAAAGTTGGTTCATGTTGATTAGCAATCAATAAAACAAACACATGCTGATAGAATACCATAAATTAACATCCACTGAATCCTCCTTTCATGTTAATAACAGATTTGAGCTGCTCAGACACAGAGTGCACCAAGTCCTTGAGAACCGATGGCTTGATGTTCTCCCAATTCTTTACTGCCCTTGCATTTAGTTGCTTCATGGACATAGGGAGTCGGCTGCTGAAGATTCTGTCATTCAGTATCCCCCCACAATTCTCAATTGGATTCAAATCTGGTAAGTTGGGGGCCATTCATCATTACAGAGGGAGCCAGGAAGTTTCCTGGAACACCACTCCTGACTAACACAGGCGGTATGAGCATATGCACCATCCTGCATGAACACCATGTCCGAGCTTTGTTTGTACATCTTCTGGCTGGTGACAGGACCACTCCGCTTCTTTCTGCTCATGAAGGGCACCCGTGTCGGTTCCAGTATCTCCTGCAGATAGTAGCGAGCGTTTACTGCGGCACTGTGGCACTACGTGAAGCTCAGACAGCCAATGGCACTCAACTTCACCTGCTCAGAAAGAGGCACTTTCTCTGGACTATCGGTGTATACCCGGTCATTTTGACTGTTGGGCGTCGTAAACAAATACTAGGGGAAATCATCAGAGAAACTCATCAGAGAAAATCCAGTTCTCCCAGTACTCTGGGGTCAAGCTGGCATACTTCCTAGCAAAAGACAGCCTCTTCTGGATCTCTGTCAGTCGTGGTATTTTGGACCTCTTGTATGCCCTCAAACCAATTTTCTGGGTCAAATAGCAGTGCTCTTAGAGCCTTTTAGTCTGCGACTCAACTGCTTGCATGACTGTCTTATGCCTTTGGCCCTCCTGATGATGTCGCTGGTTCTGGCAGTGAGCACACAAGGCCGTCCAGATCGGGGCTTATCTTCAAGGCCTGCACCTTGCTTGTGATGCTTGGCCCACTTCAAAACCCATTGTACAGTGCTCCCCAAGGATGTGGCAACCTGCTCACAAGTTTTGCCCACACTAGAAAGGGCACGGAGCTGGGACTCAGAAAGTCTGTGATGTCCAGATTTGACTTTGCCCATGGTGTGGTCATGTGGGCATCTCTCAAGCCAATCAGACATACTGATATATTCTGAACATTTTATGCAATCAGCCCAAACATATGACCCAGATGGACAACCAGACGCCAGCTGGCTGACCATGTGGTGTCGTATGTGAGAGAAATTGGGGTAAATGCCTGAACAATAAACCAACTTTTTGGACATGGTGTAGACAGCAGTCACTGTAGCAGTTCACGTGGACAGACTACTGAAACAGGAAATGGATTTGACAGTTGGAAAGTCCTATTTTTGGACTGACAAACAAGGTTTCATACTTTTGTTGTTAACTGTACAGCTGTGATTTATGGAGGCTCACAACCAGTAGGGATATGATGGTACCAAAGACAATCCAGTTGATGTTTGTTCAAGAGGAAGATTGCTTCAAGAAGACCCTGAAGTAGGACATACTGCAGCAGTGCATGTAGTATCTACAAGCAAGACTATAGACCCCACAAATAAGTTGATCAAGCACTACTCTGACTGGTATAGGTTAAAAAAGACAGTAGCAAGGATATTGAAGTTGAAGAAGCTACCTCTTAAGCGAACATACAAAGAAAGTAGTATATATCAGCCAATGAACTGGCAGTTCAGGACCTTCAGGAAGCAAACATAGCAATGGTGCCTACAGGTATGCGAGGGCATACGCTAGAAACAAATTATTTACAAATAAGCCATGGCAATGGTGGGACGTACCAGAACAATTAAATGTATGCAACTAAAATGTGTTCATATTGCATATGAATATGAGTGTACTGGGAATTTTTTGTCATATCTTCGAAATAGTGTAATCTAAATTCCAGTAATACGATTACATACTTAAATTTGACAAATGCAGTATTTGCTATTTAATTGGTAGTTTCAAACCTTATTCTTTCAATTTCAACTTTGTCTGCCCATCCATGCAATCATATTTCAGAACTCTTCAGAATTCGGTCGAATTCGTCGTTTTTGTATGGAACAATCCCTTAAAAACGAAAACCTAATTACACAAGAACATAGAACACTTTCCCGGGGTATTTGGAACCAAAAATTGTCATTCCAGCTCAGCAGCCAATCAGCGACGGCCTTACAGTTAGATGACAATTTCGGTTTCAAATTCCCTATATTTTAAAATCGTTTTGGGGGTATGTTCCATCATTGACAAAGCTCCGAAATTTCAACACTATCAAGACAAGACAGTCCGAGTAAGAAAAAAAGTACCCATGATCCTGCATTTATGCATTAAACACAAACAAATAAAAGCCATTTAATAAAGATGATTTGTGTTACTAGATTAGTGTATCATTCACACTCAATCACTGACCATGCACTAGACAATTCATTTAGAAACAATTTACCTGGTCACATGACCAGTAATTTGCATATCTAATTTGATTGTATATATTATGCAACGTAACAATATTACAACAATTCAATTACAGTAATCTTACCTATTTGTGTCAAATAACATTCCCCATCATTGCAATAGGGAATGTGTCAATTCTTAATTTTTTTTTTTATTTAAGGTAGTGGTTGTGTCTGGATTTGGTGACGTTGGGAAAGGATGTGCCAGTGCGTTTAAAATGTTTGGATCAAGAGTAATTATCACAGAAGTGGATCCTATTAACGCACTCCAGGCTTCAATGGAAGGTGGTTCTATTATTTGATCACAGCGACCTTTCAACCCTCTTTACGACAGTCTATCTTCATTTATTAAGGTTTTTCAAAATAATTTCACCTCTTTTCTGATTTTTGTTACTAGTGTGGCATTATTTTTTAGACCACAGAAAATCATATCCAACTAAATACTTTTATGACTCAATCGGTTTCTAGCTTATTTATTAACATTATTAAAGGTCACTGTGTTATGATAATTGTGTACAATTGAAGCAAAATGTCCTCCTAGCACAGGTGAAAAATGTAAAATTTTCCAATTCTGACATTTGGTCATGTGACATTATCTGATTTTTTGTAGGCTATGAAGTGACCACACTCATCGAGGCATGCAAAGAAGGACAGGTGTTTGTGACAGCAACCGGCGGCAGAAAAATCCTGACTTCAAATCATTTTTTAAATATGCGTGAGGATGCGATAGTTTGTAATATGGGACATTTTAGACATGAGATTGACTGTGATTGGTTGAATGAGAATGCAACCACAGACCGTATCAAAGCTGGGGTTAGTATTGTTAAAGAACACCATATTTGATATAGTTTTGTAAGGACTGTTATACTATGTAATATACTGTGACAAATATTTATAAACAACATTATTTATTCAAAAACTGTAAGCCAAATTGTATTCATCTTTACCATGCAAATAAAATATTCTAGGTGTTTTTGATGAAACTCGGTACATAGATGCCCTGGGACAATGCGCAGACTGAATGAGATTTAGCATGCATATTAATCGCCTTATTTGCATGATTAGTACATTTTTGGCTTCTCCAGTGATATTTAAAGTACAAATTATTACATTTCAATGGCACTTGGTACAAAGATGCTCTAGGACTATGCACAGACCTAACTAGTTTTGGGCAAACATCTGTGCATATTAATCACCTAATTTACATATTAATTAGCAAATTTTAAGCATTTTCACGTTTCTCAAGAACCGATCAACAGATTTTAATGAAACGTGATACATAGATGGATTGATGATTGTAGTGAAACATGATACATAGATGGATTAATGCACAAAGCTTTTTAATTTAATTAATTGTGATATGATATATCATATCATATTGTGACTATTATTCATAACTATAATATCTATATAACTATAAGTACTGTTGCAGATAGGGACATGCAACTGGTGCTAAACTTTTGTTGTTGTTGCTGACCAGATATATGAACAAATATCAAGTATGGTCATTATTTTCATTAAATGTTTATAATTGTAAAACCATAGCTACATTGAGCCACCATGATCATTGTTAGCAGTTATATTTGTTCAAATGTTGTATTTGCTCTAATATAATCACATGTGTTAACTTCATGCATCCAATGCTTTTAACACGCAGGAGTATTGTCATCAGATTGTTAGATTATTATTTGAAAAAAACCATGACGACAGCATTTTGATGAGACATAAATATGTATATATTCTAACCAATCACAGGTTAGCAGATACACGTTATCGAATGGACGTCATATATTATTCCTTGGTGCTGGTAGTCCTGTTAACTTAGCATGTGCATCTGGTTGTCCTAGCTTTGTAATGTCAAACGTGTTCGCAGCACAAGTGTTAGCACAGATTGAATTGTTCAACAACAAAGCAAAGTACTCTATCGGTGTTCATTCACTGCCCAAGAAGGTAAGCGTAATTTATCTGGAGTCAGTGTATTTATGTGAGGAGAACGATTCTGGGTTGCTTTGTTCTACCTGCCGACTTATCTGAACAATCGACATCTTAATGGTCTTTTGATTTTGGGTAAAAGACAATAATTATTTCCTTGAAAAACTGAAAAATACTTATTTCCACATTCAATATTTGAATTGAATTTCAAAGTTAAGCGATAAGTCTGTGTTTTATCACAATGACAGTGCGCTTTATACACGTAATAATAATTAATAATATTGATGCAATACTTGTTTTCAATACTTGCAAATTGTTTCGTCATTTTTATCTGATTATCTTTCTTTTCCAGCGTGATGAAGAAGTGGCCTTCTCTCACCTGGAAAAACTAGGGATAAAATTAACGCATTTGACTGTTGAACAAGCGGAGTATCTTGGAATACCACAAAATGGCCCATATAAACCCAATCATTATCGATACTAACATCTATTAAAACATAATTAACATATTGATAATACATGTATTCCTAAAATTTAAAGATAATGCTATAATCGGAGGCGTGTGTGATCATCTTTAGAATGTACTGTTATGATAGCGACTTCACGTTCGCACATTCGGTTCACACGTCGTTAGACTATTGTTTAGAATCAACAACTTGCATGTTTAGGAAGGAGATTATAAACATATATAACAGGAATTTGATAAATAGATTGTTTACTTATTGTATTTAATAGTGGCAACTTTGCAAGGCTTTAACCGTGAGACACATCCCTGTTAATCACGTGGTCGTGCCAGCGACTGCAGCGATTGGCTGATCGCAAGTTTACTCCGCCACGCCTTAGAGACTTGACTTTTAATATAGGGAGTTTGTAACCTTTGTAAGAGAAGAATGAGAGAACGGTGCAGCTCGGATGACTGCTTGTGTGAATAAAGCTGGACTATCTGTAATGAACTTATGTGTATTCATTTGGGTCGAATCTGGTATCTCTACGTTTAAGTGACATCAGCCAAGCGAGACGAAGTTCCCCGATCCCCGAACACAACACTTGTGTTCACAACAATATTGTAAAATATAGAATAGTATTTAACAGACAATAATGGTATTTATATATATAACGCTACGACAGGAGACTTTTTATTCTGAACATTGTGAAATTCTTTTGTTTTGGGGAGAAAAAACCCTGAAACAAATTAATTTGACAGGACAATTAAAAAATTTATATTAAGAATAATTCATAAAAAAATGTATTCTCTCTGCACCCAAAAATATTTTTCATAGTTACCGATTACACAAGAACATTACAGAAAAAAAGATAATTTGCTATCTTCTCTATATTTGTGCCTTTTATTTGTCTCGAATTATGAATCTGAATGAAATTACAAACTATGTAGTGTGTGTATGTAACAATAACTTTAATAAATATAATTTTACTTGGTAAAAATACTGTATTTTTCAGCATAAATCAAATGAGTGAGCTCAAGCTGAACCATAGAGAAACTCGCGAGGATAAAAAACAACATAACAAAACAATAAAAATAACAATCCGTGGACTAATCTATAGTCCAATATACTACTGGTATATACTGTATTTGCTCTATGAAGTTAAGTAAACTTAAGAAAAGGACAGTCAAAATATGTCATATTTGTACAGTACAGCATATCTTAAATGCAATGTTTAGATATGCTTCTACAAATAGAACAATCTAAAAACTCTTTTATAAGACATTTCCCGGAGAAAAAAACACATTCCAGTATTGACTGAAATAAACAACTAGTTATCTTGTGTATTTAGCCTATAAAATAACACATAGGTCAAGTACACATATAGAGATTAACATTCACTTACTGGTCAATAAGCACTTGGGGCCAATCTTATACAGAAAGAGATCAGGTAACCTCGAGTCACTAAAAATAATATATGTATATAGGTGTCTGCTGCCCTGCCTCTAAAAGATATTTGACGATGAGAAGCTGTGTTTAAACCAGAAGTGGGTTCATTTGTGCTAATGTCACAAAACAGTGCACATCTATATTTATTTTCAAAATGTAGTGGTAGAGGTTATCTTGCATTAATATTGAAACCAACAATGTACGCTCCTTAGTTTGGATGGTTTTTGACCAACATACTGAGTACACTCAGTCCTACCGCATAATGTGGCAAAGTTGAGGTTCTGGCCAGTCAAGGCGCCATTAGGTGTATTGCCAGTCACCCCTGCACAAATGCCTGAGGCCTAAGTAGATTCATGCATGTGCACATTGGTAATCGGGCGAGGGTCGATAAATTTGTGTGTAAATTTTGTTAGTGCTTTTGTTGGGAGTGTAAATGTCATCAAGCATACAATGAAGGGAAGTCCTACCACCTTTAATGATGCGGCAGACTCAAGAAAGCTTGCCTGCAAGGTTGGCATTTGGTGGCTAACGTTTTGATGGCAGCATGCAGCTGTAGTTTTTGGTGTACTGTGTCGATATCCATCCCTAAGAGGGTAAGTTTTTTTGTGAGGGCCCTACCACTTTACCCCAAGCAATACAAAAACCCAGTTATCGGAGAGAGGTAGTCAGGGCCAATTTACACAACTCAATCTGTTCAATGATGAGCAAGTCATCTATGTATAAGACCGTACCATTGCATCACAACCCTTCTTAGCTATCATACGCCTATAATTTCGGGTAAGCCTATTGAAAATATAGGCATCATCAATGGTTTGGTACTGGAAGGAAGCGTGAGGGGATTAATCATTAACCGCTTTCCAGGCTGGCCGCAGTCATGAATTAGGCGAACATTGGCAGAATTAGCTTTGGGGTTAAAAAGAATGCTACTAAGCTTGCAATTTTAGGGGAATTAGGAAGATACTCTCTTGCCATAAAATTAATACACACATAATTAAATTCGGTTTCAACAATGAGTAATGTTGAACTTAGACATGCCAGTTCAGAATCTCTGATAATAAACTCCATATTGAAACTGGCAGGCATGGCAAAACTCAGATTGAAGATGAGGTACATTTTCGTATGGACAGCAGTCTGTAAAATACACGTAGAATTAAATTATTAAAGTACTGTGAGGGAATTCAAAAATTAAATAAAAAAATTCAAAGAAATTTTGTGATTTTTCACTTCTTAGCAGCAGCAGTAGTTAGTGTATTGTATTGCATTGTACAAGTACATTGTGTTTGTTTGTAATTTATTTAGCATTCTGTTTATTTTTTTTAACTTTACTGTATTTTAGTTTACTAGTAGTTTATTTTATTATATTTTTTTATAACAACTCACTGTGTTGGATAAATATTATTATTACTACTATTTAGGTCAGTGTCACGAGAGTTTTTTTCGCCAGCCATGCCTAACATCAGTCTTCATGCCGTCCCCGAGGTCTTTCTCTAGCAAAGCAGTTTTACAGTTCTTATTTTGTTTTAATTCGATTCCTGTGAATGAATCCACAAAAGAACGCGCACGCCTGGTTTGAACGAGTTCGATTCTCCGCGTCTAACAGCCATAGAATACAAAGGTTCTAATGCAAGTAATGTATATTTTAATCTAAATAACTGAACATTTTATTCAGAGTCAGGGCGTGAAACGTCTTATTAAAGTGATTAAGGTAATCAAGTGACATTAGCATAACTTTGTTAACCGACAGGGTCTTGTAGTTCAAACATATTCGAATATGCAAATGAGTTCTATGCAAAGATGCTTTGTGCAGTGATGATAAGTAACGCGTATCGAACTGTGCGGAGTTCATGTACATGTACCACTGTGACGCATCGACCAATTAACGAAAAGCATAAGATCGCGTGGTGGGGACACGGAAAAGATAATTATTAAGTATTTCATTTTAACTTTGTATGAATAACAAAACATGAATATTTCTCCAGTTATCACAGCCTTGGGTGACACATAATACTGGTAATAAATAAACTGCGAAATTAAAAAGTAATTAGACATGCGGCACGAAAAAGAATGTTTTATGAAGGGCGATGGTCGTCGCCTTGTTCGTATTTCATGTAAATAAACACTGTAATCACACACGTTGTATACGTCAATGCAGACGACCGCCGCCCTTTAATGTATTTGGCTACCATTAAAACTCAGACAACTATATAGTAGTTTTGAGATTAAACAGATTATCAATAATATTTCCAGGATTTAGTTCGCAAAACTCAGATAAAAATATATGGTCATTGAACTACTGACAGTTAAAGTACGGCTATGAAGGCGTCAGCATCCGAATGGCCTACTTTAACCATTAATAGCTCCATGTTTTAACGAGGTACTAGTAATACAGCAAATTTGGCGAGTTTTAGATTTTTTTTCGCAGCCCCGTAGCGGGTTGTGCCGGTGTATTAACAGCGTACGCATGTTACGGAACTTCTTTTGTATAGAAGGACAATGGGCAAATGACCCGTAGAAAACTACGTGTTGATTTCAACCACGAAACACCTGCTTGGATCATTCAGCAGTGACCATACATTCACACGACTCGCTGATCTGAAAAAGGTTTGTTCGAATTCAGAGCGTTGCTACTTAAAATGTACTAATTTAAATAGCGAGAGAGACGTTATGCAATCATCTCCTGATATTCCACATTGTAATGGCAGATACCCTGGATGGGAGTGTAGGCAAAGGCTCATGGGAACACGTAAAGAGTCTCATATCAGGCTCGGCGCCGAGGTCGCGTATTTCAGCAACATATCCCAAAATTCAATGCGTAAAATAAATCGCTCTGCCAGTTGTGGGCGCACTTCGAGGTCATTCTGACTTCCAGCTGGGTGGGACTTGGGTCGCATGAACCAGACATTTTGGGTGAGTCGTTATAAATTGTGCAGTTGAATATAAAGTGCGGCCATTCAGAGTACACTACGAGGTTGGCTTTCAGGGGCTTACGTAATTCCGACCGTATCACAGGGGCCTGTAGCTGCGGTTTCGTTGCTCTCTATTGCGACTGTCAACTGATTACTTACTGCCTTTTAAATTTTATTTGGACATATGTTCTGTTTGTTTTGTGATGACAGTCGAATATCGGCCAGCCAGATACCGACGACCAAAAACGGCCCTCAGGGGACTATGATTCCACAGCTAAGGGGCCTGACGATATATTCGAGTCAATTACATGGACGCCCATGGAGCGGAACGACTATATGTCCCGGTACAGTACCTTACCCCTGCTCACAATAATAGAAATTTTAGAATTAAAACATTTTTGTAATGTAAAGTAAGCAATATGTCATGCAATTTAATTATCTACACTCCAAAACCCGGAAAGTCACTAATATTTGTTTCTGGCCAATCAGCCTGCACTATAGTGTTAACTCTAAAATTTCTATTATTTTGAGCAAGGGTAAGGTCCTGTACCGGGACATAGTCCTTCCGCCCTATAGACGTCCATGACATGAATAGATCGCCGGGCCTCTGTGATCCCGTTAGGGGGGGGGGCAATCTTTTGAAATCATGGGGGGGGGGGATGAATGTAAACAGTGCGATATGGTTTCGCGGTGTTTCATCTGTACAATTTTATTTAATGTGGAACCATTTCCTGTATTATGCAGTTTTTTCTCTCTCTCAATAAATCTTCCGCCCCAATGACTTCAAATGGTCACCCCCTTATGATCGTAATAACTAATTAAATACTTATTGTATATCTCGTATTATTTAACACATCTTACCATATACCGTCCATAATCTTACTAGAAGAGCTTATTTTCAACGGAGGCTAAGCCGAGGTTGACAATGGGCTCTGAGGGTCTCTAAAAATGTATGTCCACCTCTGTTGCGGTGAACATTTGTATTATTATACCGTGACCGAATATATCCTAAAACGGCAATTGTGACACTTAATCATGTAAATATTCTAGATCATCCTCACAGAGCAGAAGGCATGTATGAACACAAATATACAATTTGAAAGAGTTCAAGGGCAGTGATTGAGTTCCACTGCTATTTTAATTTGAAATTCATGGTTGTATTGATAAACCTAATTTCAGCAAATTCAGCCTGACGAAGAATTGATTTTTACAAACACATCCGGCGTCCTGTGCGCAGCTATACACTACACTGCGTCACAGTTCGCATTATTATACCTCATGACCATGACAGCCAATCAGACTACTGTATTAGAGGTTGATATTTTTGTATGTCTACCTCTTGCCATAATTGTATGTTAACCTCCATCCGGGTACCTTCCTCCTCAATTTATCTGATTTACGCCACAGTCCCTCTATCTGATAGAGGGACTGTGTTTACGCCAATAACTTGTCAGGGGAACAAGATACGAGGCAATATTCGTAAACTGATTGGTTTGCCAGGTTTACTTTCACTATTATTGGAGAGAAAAACTAGGATTTTGTAGCGATTTCGCGTGATTTTTAGTCAAGCTTGTCGTGCGTTCGCCGGCGCGCTCCTACGCGCTTTGAGACATTCGATCTGCGATTGCGTAGTTCGTCAACCTAAATAAACGTGGGCTTTGCCGTGTGACGGTATTGTTTTGTTTGATTTTGTTACGTATTTTGTGTGTTTTGACAGTATATTGACATATTATGTACAGTGTAGTTGTTGATAGAGAATGGTGTTGACATAAACCTATACCCAAGCAGTGTGCAGCTCCGTGTGCAGCTCGTTTCAGTGTTCTACATGTAATGCGCACAGGATGGCGCTGGATGTTATTGCAAAAATCAATTCTTTGTCAGGCTGAAGTGTTGAAATTAAGTTTAACAAAACAACCATGAAAGTAAAAAGGCGTCTATTATAAAACTTAATAGAATTCAATCACTGCTCTTGAACTCTTTCACCTTGTATATTTGTGCTCATCCATGCATTCAACTCTACAGGCGTGAACTGAAGTTTGCTATGATTGAGTGCCACAATTTCTGTTTTAAAATTTATTTGGCTTCGCCTCGGTTGACAATGAGCTCTTCTGGTCGCTAAAACTGTATGTCCACCTCTTATCTGTTGGGGTGTACATTTGTATATTAGAACACTGAAACGCACGGCAAGAGCGAAATCGCAACAAAATGCTAGTTTTTACTCCAATAAGATAGTCATATAGTGAACGAAAACCTGGCAAACCAATCAGTTCATGAATATTGCCGCGTATCGTGTCCCCTTAACAAGTTATTAGCGTAAATAAGATAAATTCAGAAAAAAGGTACTCGAATGGATGTAGACATACGAATATGACAGCAGGTCGACACACGAATATGTCTACCTGTAATACGCGAATCTGATTGGCTGTCATGGTCATGAGGTATATTAATATAAACTGATACCCAGTTTACAAAATTATATCCACCAGTTGAGTATACCAAAGTTAAAATAAAAAAAATGAAACATTCGTTATATTGTCAAGAATTTACATATCTTTTCTCTTTAATTGAACGCTTACGTAAAGAAATTCTAACGTTTGTGGTGCCAATTTAATACGTCTAATATTTTCTGTTCAGTTATTTTATTAGTGTTCACAGTTATTGTACATGTACATTCCCTCATATGTTGATGCTATTTAATTTAATGTTAATATATAAGTTAAATAAAGCTAAATCTGTCTTTTCACTACTAATTAACCTGAAGTGACTGAATCACTGTTTTATTTTACATATATATCCCGTTATATGATCAGTATTACTAGACCATTTTTCTATACATGTATATTTCTTTCTAACCTCTTGTGGTTACCGGACAATGAAAATACCCGGATGTTTACTCGAGTGAACAATCGTCTTGCACTTAACTAATTATGTAAATACAGGATATGTGTACAAACGCTTTAGAGTAATACTTTCACTGAAATTTGTGTAATGTGGTGTAACGATTTATTTCCGGCACTAATTTTGATTTGTGTAACGATTTTATTAATTATCACATGCCATGATACATGATCTTTAGAGATTTGGGTACAGTCCACCAAAATATGTATAATAAAACTTACAATTTAACATCTAAGCAGTTAATTTTTAATTTCTCTGCAATTTTAGCTACTCCATCCTTAATGTTTATGGCAAGTACACTTTAAAATATAATTTAGTTTATAATAACACAATATTATATTTGTCCTCGTTCATTACAAACAGCAGTTTAAAAACCATATACCACACAATCAAGATGTCCAAACCAGCTCATAAGATAGCAGACATCAATCTGGCGGAGGCCGGAAGAATGGTCATCTCTTTAGCAGAAAATGAAATGCCAGGATTACTGAAAATCAGAGCAAAATATGGCGCGAATAAACCGTTAGATGGTGCTAGAATTGCTGGATGTTTACATGTTACCAAGGAAACAGCCGTGCTAGTAGAGACACTGATTATACTCGGTGCCAAGGTTTGTCTTGTTATTTCCTTTTTTCAGTACCGGAGCAACTATTATGAAGTTGCACTCGAATTGAATTGTAACTGAGCCACTGGTTGCCAAGGGAAGTGCTAAGGCATTGTCATAGTTCCAATAACTTTTAGGGCAGCAGTAGAACAACTACTCCTTTGTATCTTTAAAGCTATTCATTGCAATGCAGCTAACCTGATAACCAGGGAAGCAACAAGACTATTTTTTGACTCCAATGTTGCTGATCTGAATTTCTTGGTGGCATCTAGTGCATAAATAGCTGCTCACTGTTGCCCTGATCTTGTAGCCCTGACAATCTAATTCACAGCACAGCCACATGAGTATCGTGCTTTCCCATTATTCCATATATTAATTGTTTTATAAACTTAATGTCTTATTATTTTTAATCATTTAAGTTTTTTCTATATACTTCACATGTTCACTGGGTGATTGTGGCAGAGACTATCACTATTAAAGTTGTACATTTATGTCAACTGAATAAAAAAAATAATTCTTGTGTCAAAATATTTGTCCATTTTATATGTTTTCGACTTTGAGGCACATTGTGATGTTCAACAGGCTTTTGCCCTATATGATGACATTGAAATAAATTGGCTAGTTCTAATATTTTCAATGTTATATTTATTTATTAATTCGATTCTGAATGGAATATCGATTTAAAAACACTCCTATACAAATAGGTACAGTGGTGCAGCAGTAACATCTTTTCAACTCAAGACCATGTGGCAGCAGCACTGGTAAAATGTGGCATTCCTATTTATGCATGGAAGGGTGAGACGGATGAAGAATTTGTATGGTGTATGCAACAGACTCTGGTCTTTCAAGATGGCCAGACACTTAACATGATTTTAGACGATGGTTGTAATCTCGCACAGTTAGTGTATAGTAAATATCCGCAGTACTTATCAGGTACAGTGCAATTAAAAAACAAAAACAACAACAACTATTAATTGTTTCTAGAAATAATGAAATTATGTCTAGTTGAGTTTTCATATACTGCATTGTTTAAAAGTTGAGATACTGATAATCTACCATACTTATTTTTATTCTACAGGAATAATTGGAATTACCGAAGAAACATCAAGTGGTGAACTTATCTTAAATAGAATGTTCAATGCTGGAGAATTGAAAACACCATGCATCAGTGTTAATACCTCGGTTGTGAAAGCAAAGTTTGAAAATTTTTACGGCTGCAGAGAGTCTGTGATAGACGGTATACGAAGGGCTACTGATGTCATGCTTGCTGGAAAGGTATTGTAGACGCCATTTGATGTGATAGTAATTAGATTAAATACTTATTTCAGTTTATATGTGTAGCGCCTCTAAGTGAGAGTTACTCCTTAGTTTTAGTAGTAGGATGACCCTTGACCCATAGACACTAGAGATAATAGTCCGAATGATACAAGACCATGAGGATTAAGACAAATTGGAGATCATAATTGTTTGCACAGATAGCAGACACCAGGAATTTTGCTGTGATCATTCTCAACGAACGGTGCCTACATAGTTAAAACTAATTTCTGCTTTTACTGCAAGCATTCTACATTTTCGTGGGAACTGGATTACGTGTGTGACATTGAGCGCGAGCTGAATGTACACAGTTGGTGTCTGCTGGATTTGTCCTTGACGTGTTATCTGAGCAACGTTTCTTTTGAAAAAATACAGTGTTACAGATATGCTGACTTTGATTAGCATAATTTGTCTGTGATGTGAATGCTGCCTTGTAGAACTGAATACGCCTTTTTCTTTTGATTCATCATTCAAACTATGCCGGTTGTTTGTTTATTGTTTGGTGCAAAAAGTCACAACGTGTGTATATGTCTTTGGTGAAAGAAACGAGTTTAATAATTTTTGACAGCCGATTTTTCATTGTTCGCTTGGAACTCCTAGATTGGGCATTTATTTCAGCATCTTTAGCGTAGCGAAGTTACTGTCCACTAGTGACATCTGTTTATAGTGTACAGCGTGGAAATAGTGCCCCCTTGGGCTCATACCACTAATTACAACTCTATAGACGATAATGTTAACATATGAGGAGATTGATATATGAAAATGATAAACAAAGTTAACAACATGGTTGAAAAATGGGAAATCAACTTGCTAGGCCAGCTTAAACTAGAAAAACTAGAGAAATCACTGGAGAACACCTTGATTGGAACATCCAAATACACATATAATAAACCCACGGCTACAAAACCACTAAGTAAAACAAAAGACCACATGTTAGTCTAACCTTTAACTCAGATGCATTCCCCTAAACAAGGCACACCTGACCACGGGTTCTCTTGGGCTCACTTGTTTCCTTTGTATTATTTGTAATTGGCATTGTTGTTGGCTTCTTAGCTTTAGGTTTACAATATGTACATGTCTTTTGATTTGTTGGTGCACTGTCAATACTGCAAAGTAATAATTTGAAATAAAATGGCTGCAAATATAATATACAGCACCGAAACTTTCATGCAACAAGAAGAGGGTGAAGCTCAAAATATGATGGCCCCAACAGGGAAAAAAATGTCTTAACTCCATATTTGATTTGCAAAGGATTGTGGGATAGACAATTGAACTAGAGGAGTCACATCTTTTCCATACAGCTCTATGTTAAAATCAGCTGTTTACCTCAAGGAACGCATTAGTCTTTTTTAAAATTATGGTTATACTGTTGGTCTATCCATTAATTTTACTGGGAAGATAGTTTTCAAATTTTTTACTGTTTTTGGCTGCAAGCTGTCTAACTGTAGGAACCTTAGTGATATGTAAGTGTATCGGATTATTACTCATTCATTTATTCTTATTTATGTTTATTAATTTCTGTGTCAATGTATATGGAAACTATGGAAGTCGACAAGCAATACTACGAATAGTAGTCAGGAAGAAAGTCAAGAAGACTATAAAAGACACACTAGGGTTATGTGGAAATTGTCCAAAACAAGAGCTGCCTGGAGAAAAAAGAAAAGTATGATATTTCCTCTATCATGGTATATACACCCTCAGAAAAAGAATACCATGGAACTTCTATCAACACAATGACCAGATTTAACTAAATCGCTGGCTGGAGTACTCATCAGATTCCAACAAGAAAGAGTAGTCTTGATGTCCAATGTTAGAATCTGAGTGTCTGGAAAAGCAACTGTTATGTTGAAGTCAGTACGATGGAAAGGTCTTGTCTAAGGAGTTAATACAAACATTCAAGCAAGGTGAGATAGACTCACAAAATTGATTAGCAGTGTACGTGAAGCCATCATTGAGAAAGAAAGTCTATCAATGGAGCATGTACTGGGTATGCGTCAGAGACTCTGGGACTCTCAGAAAACTGCATCCAGAAGAAGTATCTTCGCAGTCATAAGTGCTGTTTATGATTCATTGGGTTTGGCATGACCTGCATTTTTTTTGCCCAAGATGGTGCTACATTGTTTGTGGAAAGCTAAACTGGATTTCAAGCAGCGTAAACAGTGGGAGAATTGGTTAAATGACTTACCCAAATTGGAAGAAAACTTTGCGGTGAACAGATGTGTGGAACATGAAACCATCCCATTACATTACTTCTCTGATGCTAGCGAGTCTGGATATGGCATGGTATCATGGCAAAATGGTTGAATATATTGTGCCTTATTTGCGACCCTTAAACAGATTTAAACACCTCAAATGAAGTTGACTGCTGCCACTTTATCAGTTAGCGTGGACAGACTACTGAAACAGGAAATGGATTTGACAGTTGTAAAGTCCTGTTTTAGGACTGAGAGACGGACATTACTATAGTACATATGTATTGAAACGACAAGGTTTCATATCCTTGTTGCTAACCATACAGCTGTGATTCACGATGGCTCACAACCAAGCCAGTGGGAATATGTTGGTACCAAAGATAATCCAGGTTATGATTGTTCAAAAGGACAGAAGAATCAATGGTGATTAAATGGGACACGCGAGATAGATGACCGAAAGCAAACTGTGATACTCAGTTTGATAAAGAAGATCCTGAAGTAAGAAGTACTGCAGTGGTGCCTGTGGTATCTACAAGCAATACTATAGACCCCACAAATAAGTGGATAGAGCACTACTCAGACTGGTATAGGTTAAAAAAGGCAGTAGCAAAGATATTTTAGTTGAATAAGCAGCTTCGTAAGCGAACATACAAAAAAAGTAGTGCCGATGAGCTTGAGAATATATCAGCCAATGATTTAGCCGAAAATGAAGAGAAATAGTAGCATTTGTAGATCAAATTCAACTTGGCTTTTTGTTTGGCTCTCTTTAAAGATTAAAGAGATATTGAAGTAAAAACAAATTCCTCTAGTACTGGCGCTTTCAATACTGAGGTTTTTATAACTCGTAGAGTAATTTACTTTATTAATAATTAGGATAAGACATATGTGTTATTGGCTGATTCCAAGATTTGTTTTGACTGGGGACTTTTTTGGGAAAATTTGCTTACAGTGATGAATACACAACATATGTGTGTGTGTCTGACGAATCTGACGAAATTTAGCTCAGGTTTGTCAAATGAAGCATACAGATAATGGTGTATGGAATTAATAAACTGTTTTTTTTTTCAATTTAATCCTGTGACTGATAATGTGGTAAATATTCAATTTGACAAATGAGGTGTTTAATTTAAATTTTTAGTTCGTCTGTCCATTTATGCAGTCATATGTCAGAACTCTATGGACGAAATCTCTTTATATTTCGTGTGGACTTTCAATGTCTGTCTATTATCAAGAGATCAAGAGTGGTTGACTTGTTAAATTGTGGTATATTGGACATGCTGTTTTATTTGTTGTTCAAATTACTCGCATATATTTGTTGTGATACATCCAAAAGAGCCATCTTGTTTTTCTTTCAAAAATGTATAATTGACTTTTTTTTCTTTCTTAAATCATCTTAGGATTCAATTCAAGGACAGTTTGTTTCACGACTAGGTCATAGGCCATAGACTGGGTCATGGCAGCCATTTTCATTTTTGGCTTTTTACCTTCTTCACCTGTTTACTGTTTTGATTGATATTTGGCACACATGTCATTGTATGTTAGCCACTCGTTACACGTTCATGGCTTACATATGCTCTCATTAAATTGTTCCTTAATTTTCCATCGTTTGTGTGTCGATGCATATCGCCATAAAATAAGGGAGACATGCACTTTAATTATGGTTTAGATGCAGGTTCGTGGTCACTTGGAGTGGTTTCTTTTTGCCATACAGTTTTGGCTAAAGACTGTTAAAATTTCATGGCTTTGTGAATAGTGGAACATACTCAAAAAATATAAGATATAGAAAACAGGTACAAATCCCCATATTATACAATATATATTTAACTTTTTACAAAACGTTAGTAGGTTTAAATTTGGGATTGTTACAGCAATTTTTATTATTTCTGAGTGAATTATTATGCAAATTAGACATTATTTCCACACGTGTTTTTCAATTCGCTAGGGACAAAAATGCGTCCAGGTGTATAGATAGCATGCTTTGTTTTCATATTGCAGAGTTCTCAAGCAGTATTGTTGCAGCCTTATATTCAGTCCCGGTTGGTATTCCACACTTCGGATGTCATTGACGCAAAATGCAAAGCTTTAAAAATAAGCCCAGATGAAAGCCCATGATGTCGAAGTAGTGTGGAAATTTCAAATGAAACTGAAAAAAACAACAACTGTGATCTACCAGAAAACATGGATGGCCGTTTTATGAAAGTGACTTTTATCGACTATCGCATCACGACTGAATGCCAAAATCCACCACACACCGACGCTTGCTGATGTTCAATTGTCACATAAAAAATGTTTACAATCTGAGGGAAAGTTGCGAAGTTGCGTGAAAACTGTCATGGCGTTGTGTACTGAGGGAAGTCACAATGGATTAAATAAAGCCGGTTAGATATTGATACAGTTATAGAAACATCGATTGACATTGGATGGGTTGCGTTTAACGACTGGTAGTACTTGTAAACACTGTAGTCTTTGTTTACTAATGACTCTGCCCTCAAACCAGCAGCCAGGAAACAACCCAGAGATATCCTACATGTACAACATATGCTCACATCAATGTCTATATTATAAGAGGATTATATTCATGAGCGCCCAATACATACAAATGATTGTTTCACCACAAAAAAAAATAAATAAAAAAAACATATTTATATAGGCCATCATGGCGAACACTACCAGAGGACTTCCTCAGGTCCACGAAACATGCATGGAATTTTTTTGTGTTTTTGTTTTGACATTCTTACTAGTTTGTTTTCTGTTTCCTGATTCCTGATTTTCCATCTGCAAAGTTATTTATTTATAATTATTTTCAAAATAAAAAGGTTATCCGATGTACGTTTTTTTCGAAATTTACTACTGGAGAGAATATTGTTTTTTTCCTCTAAGTAATCTTTTAATCTTTTATTTAGTACACTTGTAAACAACTTGATATGGCAGTTCCTTTATAGTTGGAGGGATTGGATTTTGATTTATGGATTGGTACTATTAAACTTGAGCTCTATGATTTAGCACAGATATTTTATAAGTAAACCATATTAAATAATTTATGTATGGCACCTAGAATTTACCACTTTTAACATTTCATTGCACATTAGGTCTTCTGCTGAATGCTTTATTATTTGTCAAATAATTTATTTTATGAAAGTAATTCGCGCTACCACGCTAGTAGTGATAACTGTGAAAAGGTTTATTTATTTGCACTTTTTTTACATTCCACTTGGCATGATGGAATCGTCTACGTCTTGTCTGTTTTTGTAGTTTGCGAGACTACTAGTACTTGAACGTGCTTGACATAAATAAATATAGAGGCTGGACAGAAAGTCACACACCGCCACACCGTACTGAGGCCAGCAACATATTTGCATATATTATTATCATTAACAGTCGGATTTGTCAATCAAGGAGCAACATAAGCAAACTTTCGAAACTTTAAATCACATACGTGACCCTCAATTCCCTTTATTTGCGTTTTTGGGGTATGTTCCATCATTGACAAAGCTCCGACATTTCAACACTATCGAGACAAGACTGTCTGCACAACATTACATACAAAAAAGGAATAAATATGAGAAATGCCAAATAATGAATATAAAGTTTGTGACCATTTTCAATTTAGAAGCCATTTAATAAAGATTATTTGTGTTACTAGATTAGTATATCATTCACCCTCAATCACTGACCATTCACTAGACAATTCATTCTGAAACAATTTACCTGGTCAGTATTTTGCATATCCAAATTGATTGCATATATTATTACATATGTACTGTAGTTTATTTTGATTCGTCCCTGAAATCAAAATCGGTATTTCCACACCTCGTATGCAAATGAGGTCTAAGAGCAAACAAAGTAGTCCCTTCAGGAGTACCGTTTTTTGAAACATAGCAGAAATAAATAATTATTAAGAAGTAGGATATTTTTCTCTTACATGAATATACTTGCCGAGTGAAATGAAATTTGAACAACAGTAATGGTACTTTTAGCAAGTCATTTATTTTGACAAAAACTAATTTGCATATCACCCATGCAATACTGTTTTCGGTATTTTCACGGTCGACATGCAAATGAACATGGTATTTCCTTCGGCTACCGAACTATTTTTATTTTGTAAACACATTGTCCTCTGCTACTTTTGTCCGGTTCAAATCGTCAGGCAAAATTGTTGGCGTGTTAAGTGCACATCACATGGAATACGATTGGGAGAACTTAATGTATGTTGACCACCTGGAAACTGAGTTTTATAAACCTTGAAGGGCTCTCAGAAGATCCACCAGCAGTAAAATCGGCGATTACTATGCAGCCGCAACCATCAGCATCGAGATACCAGGTTTCTGCTGGCGACGTTGCGGCGTTACTCAGTTCCAAATAAAAATTACCAACGCCAAAAGAGCAACATTTTAACCGGTAATCAAGACTCAGCAGCTCAGCGACAACCGCTGTCGACGAAAGTCATCCCATCAGTGGAGTACCGCAGTTGCACGGCATGTTTGCCAACTCACAATTCTGTGGCGGAACTTTTAACTTCAACATAAACTGTGTATCATAGTCGTCCAGTTCAAGTTCTGGTTCTGTCGTGGTCCCAACGAAACGTCAACGAGTTATTTATTCAGACAGTGACTGACTCAAATTAGACGTCTGATTATTTTAATTTCAAACAAACAGTGACACGCGTTCTCCGGGTACGTTCTACACTGAAATGCGCTGCTAGGGCGTAACACTTATATTGGAACATATTAATGGGCAATGGGGTTCCCCGACCTAAATTCCATCCCGGTTTGTACGTTCTTTCTTTAATACGAAATAATAAAATATGGAACATATGTAATAATAACAGAACCCCACACCCTCCTCGTGGCTTTCGAGATGCGGTGTATTCTGCTGTACTGTACGGCCGCATCACTCGTGAAAATAATTTCCACACGCAACGAAAGCCACGGGGAGGGTGTGGGGTTCTGTCATATTATGCAACGTAGATTATCATATCATAATAATTCAATTACAGCCATCTTACTTTTGGGTCATATAACATTCCCCATCATTGCAATAGGAAATGTTTCAATGGCTTTTTTATTAATTTAAATATTTCTTTATTTAAGGTAGTGGTTGTGTCTGGATTTGGTGACGTGGGGAAAGGATGTGCCAGTGCGTTTAAAATGTTTGGATCAAGAGTCATTATCACAGAAGTAGATCCTATTAACGCACTCCAGGCTTCAATGGAAGGTGTGTTTTTTTATTTGGTCACAACAACCCTCTTTACCCCAGTCTATTTTCATTTAATAAGGATTTTCAAAATAATTTTACCTCTTTTCTGTTATTAGTGTGGCATTATTTTTAGACCACATAAAATCATATCCAACTAGATAATATTATGCATCAATCGGTTTCTAGCTTATTTATTAACATGTGGTGTGATAATTATGTACAATTGAAGCACATGTGAAAAATGTAAAATTTTCCAATTCTGACATTTGGTCATGTGACATTATCTGATTCCTTGTAGGCTATGAAGTGACCACACTCAACGAGGCATGCAAAGAAGGACAGGTGTTTGTTACAGCAACCGGTGGTAGACAAATCCTGACTTCAAATCATTTTTTAAATATGCGCGAGGATGCGATAGTTTGTAACATGGGACATTTTAGCCATGAGATTGATTGTGATTGGTTGAATGAGAATGCAACCACAGACCGTATCAAAGCTGGGGTTAGTATTGTCAAAGACCACCGTCCGAACATTTGCATCCGCTATTTAATATTTAAACACATGCATGTTGATTTAATATCTATGAATGATAATTAGCTGATTTTAGCTGTTCAATTACTGTTCCACCAATATCTAACGAACCACTCAATGGATTTTGATGAAACTTGATGCATAGATGCTCTGAGAAATGCGCAGACTGGATGAGATTTTGTGTTAATATTCATGCATATTAATCATATTATTTACATGATTAGTATATTTTTGGCTTCTCCACTTATATTTCAAGTACTGATCATTACATTTCAATGGCACTTGGTACAAAGATACTTCAGGACTATGAACAGACCTTATTAGTTTTTGTTAAAAATCTGTGCATATTAATCACATAATTTACATATTAATTAACAAATTTAAGCATTTTCACGTTTCTCAAGAACACTTCAACAGATTTTAATGAAACGTGATAGATGGATTAATGCACAAAGCTTTTTAATTTAATTCAATGTGATATTACTAATGTTTCAGATATTTATGGTCTTTATTCATAACTATAATATCTTAAGTACTGTTGCAGACAGGGACATGCAACTGGTGCTAAAATGTTGTTGTTTGACCAGATATATGAACAAATATCAATTAGTCTTCAAATATGGTCATTATTTCATTAAATGTTTATAATTGTTAAACCATAGCTACATTGAGCCACCCTAATCATTGCGAGCAGTTATATTTTTAAAATGTCGTATTTGCTCTAATATATTAATCACATTTGCTAACTTCATGCATTCAATACCTTCAACACACGGGAGTTCTGTCATATGACTGCTAGATTATTTCTAACTGAACAAAACCATAACGTCAGCATTTTGATGAAACATAAATATGTATATATTCTAACCAAGCACAGGTTAGCAGATACACGTTATCGAATGGACGCCATATATTACTCCTTGGAGCTGGTAGTCCAGTTAACTTAGCATGTGCATCTGGTTGTCCCAGCTTTGTAATGTCAAACGTGTTCGCAACACAAGTGTTAGCACAGATTGAATTGTTCAACAACAAAGCAAAGTACTCTATCGGTGTTCATTCACTGCCGAAGAAGGTAAGCGTAATTTATCTGGAGTCAGTGTATTTATGTGAGGAGAATGATTATGGGTTTCTTTGTTCTACCTGTCGACTTTCTTGAAAAATAGACATCTTAATGGTATTTAGGTTTGTCTCAGTAATAGACAATTGTTATGAATAGGAGCTTCCTGAATCTGGAAAATTCTTCTCGCTTGGCTGATAACACTCAAGTCTCTAAGGCGTGACAGAGTAAATATGCGATTAGCCCATCGCTGCAGTCGTTGGTACGATCACGTGATTACCAGGGATGTGTCTCACGGTTAAAGCCTTGCAAAGTTGCCAATACTAAATACAATAAGAAAATTATCTATTTATGAATTTCCTGTAATATATGTTTATAATCTCCGCCTTAAACATGCAAGTTGTTGATTCTAAACAATAGTGCAACAGCGTGTGAACCGAAAGTGCCAACGTGAAGTCGCAATCACAACACAATTATTATTTCCTCGCAAGACTGAAAAAATCTGTTTTCTTAATTTCTTTACAAAATGTTTTGTCATTTTTATCTGATTATCTTTCTTTTTTAGCGTGATGAAGAAGTGGCCTTGTCTCACCTGGAGAAACTGGGGATAAAATTAACGCAATTGACTATTGAACAAGCGAAGTATCTTGGAATACAACAAGACGGCCCATATAAACCCAATCATTATCGATACTAACAACTGTCAACAAATAATTTAACATATTGATAATACAGCCCAATGCAACAATCGGAGGCAAGTGTGATCGTCTTTAGAATGTATGGTAAAATATAGATTGGTATTTACCAGACATTAATGGTGTTTTGTTTTATATATATATAAGACTGCGATAAGAACTTTCCATTTTCGACATTGTGGCATTGTTATTTGGGAGAAAAAAAACTTATTTTAACAAGACAATTCAGAAATTTATATTCAGAATAATTAATAAAGAAATGTAATGCCAATAATTTTCATAGTTACCGATCACACAAGAATATTACAGAGAACTTGAACTAGTTAGAATAAAAATGAGAACTTGAAATTATGAATCAAAAACCACTTTGAAACGCATAGATTTGATTTGTGCCATTGCATCTATTTTAAAAACACGATTACCGCAGTTTTAGCAAGCAGAAGTGGTCGCTCAATCGGTTAGAGCCAATAACGCTGAGGTCGTGGGTTCGATCTCATATCGGCCATTGGTAATTTCATGTGTCTGTTGAAAACCATTGGCGGCATTTGGTTGCGTCATTTATTTATTTATTTGAGATACCAACAGGTTTCCCAGTTACAGGCACTCATAAAATACAAAAATAATATAATATAAAAAGAAAGACCCAAAGCTCAACTTATAGCATTTAAAATAGATGTCTTAAAAGAAGTTAGACTCGTAAAAATGTCTACTGAACCAGCAATATAAATACAATTTAAAAAGTCAAGACATCGAGGGATAAAAGAATATTTCTGAGATTGCTGTGACAAAGAGGTAATTTTAAGGGATATGCGGAGCGGAGATTTCTGGAGGGAGCATGGAATGAAATGTTGGAAATAGTGTAGGGAGAATCAAAAATATTATTAAGCATTTATACAAAAAGACAATAGTGCCAACAAGAGCAGATGAACTAAGGTTAACCATCATTATGGCACAAAAGTCTTTAACTTGAGTGACACGTTCAATCGGCAAACCATCTATCTTATAATTGTGATAGAGAGTCGAGCGTTTCTCAATGAACGAGATAACGTTACACTTCTGGGGATTTAGCTTGAGAAACCAATCCTTACACCAATCATGGAGCCTATTTAAATCATTATGGAGAGTAAACAGTCTGTAACATTTATGACAAATTTATAAAGTTTTGTATCATCGGCATAGGTTGAGCAGTATGATAAACTTACGTGACCGGGGATATCGTTCACATACATAATAAAGTGTACTGGTCCCAAAATGGAGCCTAGTGGCACTCCGGACGTAATACCTGCCCATTCAGATTGCGCCCCCCAATAACAACACGCTGTGTACGGTTACATAAATATGAGTATGTCCAATTGTGAATAGATTCACTGATCCCATAATATTGCAATTTGTATGTCAGCAATGAATGGTTGATACTGTCGAACGCCTTAGAGAAATCGAGATAGACAGAATCAACCTGTCTACCACAATCGATTTCTTTGGTGATATAGTCGACGTACTCAACCAAATTCGTTGCAGTCGAACGGCTTTTCATAAATCCATGTTGGTTAGTATTTATAGTGTTTTTATGTGACCATACAGAGTGTTGTATGCTATTTTCTCAAAAACCTAGCTGACAAATGACAACAAAGATGACTTAAAGACTGGAATAATGTGTGCTTTCTTAATAGAAATAGAAGGAAACTGTCCTGTACTGACCGAAAATCTTATGGGTAATGAAATTCGCAATTGCTCGAACTAAAAATGTGAAAATAGTGCAAAGAATGAAATCGTGGGGCTTATCTGCAAGTAGGTCACTCAAAATACTTTGTGTACTGTTGATCGCCATTGGCTACCTTCACTACCACCGAAAAAGTCTACTACAAAAACCATTTCGAAATGCACAGACTAGATAATGTGCGATTGTATCTCTTAAAAACACGATTACCGTATTTTTAGCATGCTTATGTGGCCGGTTAGCTCAGTTGGTTAGAGCGCGGTGCTAATATCGCTGAGATCGTGAGTTCGATCCCCATATCAGCCACTGGTAATTTTATGTGTATGTTGAAAACCATTGGCGGCATTCGGGTGCGTCATCTTGTGGGTATTGAAATTTGAAATTCGCAGTTGCTCGAAATTAAACATGTGCGAATTGTTCAAAGATTACAATCGTGGCGCTTATCTGCACGTAGGTCACTCACAATACTTTGTATGCTGTTGATTGCTATTGGATACCTTCACTATCACCGTCTTGTGGGTAATAAAATTTGTATTCTGCGTCCTTGAATCAGTTAGAATATAACTGAGAACTTCACATTATGGGGAAAAGGCTACAATAAACTATTCAAAATGCACAGACGTTTTTGCGTTCCCTCAGTTGGTTAGAGCGCGGTGCTAAAAACGCTGAGGTCGTGGATTCGATCCCCATATCGGCCATTGGTAATTGTATGTGTGTGTTGAAATTAGGCGAGGGTTCTCCGAACCCGCCTATTCACATAGTTCATACCCACCATAGACTCCGGTCAGTCAAAATGACTATTTTGAACTGTAGGCATTAAACAGCGATACTGCCGGTGACAGAGATATAGAATCCAGGTCAGGGGAAGCCCCATGACCTCAAGATTCTTTTACCCCTTACGTCACGA